GGGGTGAGAGAGAGAGAGAGAGAGAGAGAGAAAGACAGACAGACAGACAGACAGACAGACGCACAGCAACAACAGTAGGATTAGAAATGCAGGATGTTGCAATACCAATAGTGAAAAACAAGGCTGCATATTTATATGTACAATATTGTCATGGTTCTAGTCCACTACATTTTATTTAAAGACAATACTGGCTGAACTTTATTCTATAGTATTTTTAAAATATGTCTCTGCTTAGCCACACTATGTAGCTTTAATACTGCTAGTCAACTACTAGTCTTCAATATAATACACAAGGCAAATGTGAAATATTACCTTGTATGCAATTACTTTTAAGACTGCATTTTGTTGAACTTGTGGTGTGTTTATTAAGCAAACATTTTGCTAATTTATAGGTATTTTAGGTATTTCTTTAGAGAATTGACAGTAGAGAATTCACATGACATGAGAGAGAGAGAGAGAGAGAAAGAGAGAGAGGTGGGTCATGCAATTAAGGTCCAAGTGTGGACCTGAACAACGGATGTTACGATACACGGACAGCGCCTCAAGCCTTTAGGCCACCAAACAACAGATGACTGGTTTATCCTCTCGAACGTTGTCTCAAGCAGCCACATCCACTGTCATACTCTTCGGTTGGATGGCGAACAGCTGAAGTTGTTTTACAGCGTTAATCAGCTGTTGTTTGTCTGCATCTGGCAGGTGGGGATTTACTTGCTGGAAGCTGGGCTCGGGAAGCCTGAGTTTCTCAGCGAGGGAAATGCTCGGCTGAAGAAAGCAAATCAACTAATGCAGAAGCTGATGGAATATTATTACGATTTCATTATCCCGGGTGAGTGTCTGGTCCTAATGTCTAATGCATGATGTGATCCAAGTTCTCACTTACCATAGCAGCCTCAACATTACATTTAATGTAAAGCAACGTGGGTCTTAAATAAAATATGACCCAAAATGTCTGGAATAAATAGATTTCTCTGCTGTTTTTTCCACGTAGAAGTTGTAGAGAATGAGGAGGAGGAATGTGACACCGACCTGGAGAGGCAAAATGTCGAGGAGCTCTACGATTACGTCAGGCACCTGCACCAGAGGGAGAGCCAGGAGGTGACCTACGACGTCCAGCACAAAGCTCTCATTCCTGTTCTCAGACCCTATCAGAGACAGGCTGTCAACTGGATGCTGAGGAGAGAGAAAACCAGGAACACTTCACCTAAAGGTACTCACTTTTTGTCCGATACACCTGTACATCGCTTCCTTGCTACACTCTTGACAGGAGAGGGGGCTGTACCAGTGGGTTTGCATTTAACTACAAATCATGTGCTTAATTTGGTCAACGTTTTCAACCATTCTCTAATGTGCAACTTACATTGTATACTAATGAGGTCTATGAGAGCAGACTGCCTTGCTGTGTGTGTTTGCTGTGTTGCAAATTAGCTATTGCATTTCTTTACCCTGAAACTGGAACCTGGAACTTTAGTATTTAGTAGCATTTTCAGATTAGTGCTGAGATTGAGTGAGATTGTCAATGTTTATCATTTATTTGCAGAACAAATGCTGCATTTCCTCTGGCGGGAGTTGATCGCTTTGTGTGGCAAGAAGTTGTTCTACAATCCTTTTACCGGCTGGTAAGAACTTGAATGTTAACAGGTCAGTTCACTTAAATCACAAAAGCATATTTTGTGTTTTACCACCAGTGCTATCTACCCAAACATCTGCTGCCAGCACTATGCAGCCGGGATGAATGAAATGTCTTTATGGTGATAAAAACATTTAAATAAGGCATTTTAAAAACTCAAAAGCAATGTGTCTTTCCAGAGGAAATGTCCAGAGCACATAAAAGCAAAACCTATTTGCATGGCTGGAAACCAGTAAAGGCAACTGGGATAATATGTCTTTTTGAATTTGGCTGAACTGACCCTTTAATTTGACATTTTGGTGTCCTTTTCTGGATGCACAGTTACATTTTGTCATTTGTTTGTTGAGTTTTCTTTTTAGTACTAAACGAAAGTATTTTTGGTTTTCAGCAGTTTTATTTATTTATTTTATTTTTCAGCTTAATCCGAGAATTTCCCCTGGCGGGTGTAGAGTGGCCTGGTGGGATCTTGGCTGATGAAATGGGGCTGGGAAAAACGGTGGAAGTTCTGGCTCTTATCCTATTTCACACTCGACAGGACCTGGAGCAGGAGGCCCTTAGCCTGCCTGTGGTGAGGATCAGTAGGCAGCTACAGATAAAAATACAGAATATCACCTTTTTCCTCCCTTCTTTGTCTCTCTCTTAACCTTCACCCTATTTGTGTTGTGGATGATTATTAACAGTAATAGGAATATTTGAATAATGTTCTGCATAGAAGGCATCCGCTATGTTGTGAAAGTGTGAATTTTTTTATCTCTTTTCGTCTTGCAGGGAAAATCCGTAAATTATTTCGTACCTCCTCCTCCCCTTGAAAGAAAGAAAGTTATCCGCTGCAAGTCTGAAGTTCAGCCTAAAATTAAAATATCCTACCCAAGTATGTCACTCACAATCCTCTCAGATGTCACACCTTTTATTGTAACTGCAGTTTGATTAAGATGCTTTGCATTATTTTTGTGCAGCTGTGCGTATCATGCTCCTCACTGCAATCAAGGAGATGAGATCTGGTAAAGGAGCCTCCGTCAACGCCATCTTCACCTACATTCGTGCCACCTACGGTTATGACCTCTTAAAAAACCGGAACCACATCCGGAAGACTCTGGTGAAGCTGATAGACGAAGGCCTGGTTGACCGGGTGAAAGGTCGAGGCTTGGCGGGGTCATTTAAGCTGGGGAAGAACTACAAAGAAACAAAGAAGATGTTAGCAGGAGCATCCAAGTTTGTAAGAATAAAGAACTTCAAATATAAATGTTTTAAGCTTCAAATATTACTTTGTTGTATTGTCTAACTTTTGTCTGATTTCTTTTTTGTTAGAATTCCAAAAACACAGAGAGCACACCAAGGAGGATGTTTCAGAGACGAGCAAAAGAGAAGGCAGAAGCAGCTCTGCAAAACTCTCTTACAGAAGATCAAATAGATCTGTACTCACCTACATCTGAGTGTCTAGCACCAGAGGAAACAGAAACCAAGGAATGGGATGAAAGTCTGAATGCGAAAGCGGATCAGTCAGACGACACGCAGGATACATCCCAAACATTCTCACAGGTGTCTCAGGATAAAAGTGAGTCAGACACACACGACATGCCCAGAATGGATGAGCCTCCTAAAGAAAGGGGAGAAGCTGCTCAGCTTGATTCACACGAGGAGACAGAAACCCCCACCAGAGCGTCTGTTTTCCCTTTCAACACCCCAGACTACCGCTTTGAGTGTATCTGTGGTGAACTGGGCATCATTGACTATAAGGCTCGCGTGCAGTGTATGAACTGCCAGCTGTGGCAGCACGCAGACTGTGTAAACTATAAAGAAGAAAGCCTCGAAACTACACCTTTCTACTGCCCTCACTGCCTGGTCGCCATGAAACCTGTCTCCACCGGTGCCACCCTCATCATCTCGCCAAGCTCCATCTGCCACCAGTGGGTGGAGGAGATCAACCGGCACATCAGGTCCTCCTCGCTGCGAGTGCTGGTGAGAAATATGAGTTTGTTGGTGGTAGATGTTTAGGTAGAAATGTCACATAGACCATCTCAGCAATCCTAAAGGACCTTGACACAGAACAACATCTCTGCACACTAGCTCCAAGTTTGGAAAATGTCATTACTTTGTGTGGTGGGTGTGAGTGAAATGCAGTGTTAGTTGCCATAACTACTGGCAATCAATCTTCAACTTGTGTGTTCTGGTGAGCCTGATAAGAGTTGAGATTACAGTCACACGTTGAAAGATAACATCACTAACATGCAGCCCTTTATCTCAAGTGTTAGTTTTACATGAGTAAGGCAGATAAGTGTGATGATATGTCTGTGTTTACGTGCCAATTGTTGCAGCTGTTATGACTCTACACACAGTCAGTACATTTAATTCCCAGACCATAAACCAAATGTTAATAAGAATATAAATGTACTGCAAATGTTGGTCTGTTACCCTGTCTGCTGAAGAGGTTTCTCAGGGCTTCCTAAATAGCACACACTAACAAAACTATTGAGCTTAAAGTACTTGGCTAATTAATATGACCTCCTTATGTCAGGTTTATCAGGGTGTGAAGAAGCACGGATTCATCCAGCCACATATGCTGGCTGAGCAGGATGTGGTCATCACCACCTACGATGTGCTGCGGTCAGAGCTCAACTACGTCGACATTCCCCACAGTAACAGCAAGGATGGACGCCGCTTCCGCAACCAGAAGCGCTACATGGCCATACCCAGTCCTCTGGTGGCTGTGGAGTGGTGGCGAATCTGTCTGGACGAGGCTCAGATGGTTGAATGTCCCACTGCGAAGGTGATTTGAAGGGAATCCACAAATATAGAATCTTATTTCTATCTCAGAATAACATATAGATCCTGACCACACAGTCGGGAATGTGTGAATAAAATATTATTCATTCATAGGTTGTACATAACATGTCAGACTATGTATTTAATATGTTTATCCTTTTGTTTATGCTCCCTTTTATTTTCAGGCTGCAGAGATGGCTCTACGTCTCGCATCCGTCAACCGTTGGTGTGTCAGTGGCACTCCTGTCCAGAGAGGCTTAGAAGGTAATACCATTACATAGAAAACAAAATACCCCATTTATCAAAGTAGGTCTTGAATGAGAGGTTCTGTGATTGGTTTCGTAAGGCTTTTAACAAAAATCATCAAAAGCTGCTTAAGACTACAAAATGAATCTCTAAACTGATGTTCCTTTTGTGTACAGATTTGTACGGCCTTGTACTTTTCCTGGGAGTTGACCCATACTGGGTTAAACACTGGTGGGAGCAACTGCTTTATCGCCCTTATCGACGTGGAAACACAGAGCCCCTGTACTATGTAATCGCTCAGTTATTGTGGCGATCAGCTAAAAAAGACGTCATTGATCAGGTAGGACCTCAAAAAGATCCGTACATCTTTGAAGCTGGATGATAACAGAATTTTAACTTGTAGTCAATGTTGCATTTCAGAATTTGTGCTCATTTTATAAAATGTAGTTCCAGTGTGTTTGATGATTTTGTCTCAAACTTTTCTAGATCCAAATTCCCCCTCAGACGGAGGAGGTGCACTGGCTTGACTTCTCCCCCGTCGAGGGACATTTTTACCACCGTCAACACGAGGTCTGCTCCCAGGATGCTCTGGTCAAAATCAGGAAGATCTCTGACTGGAGCCTGAAACTTGGCAGCCTCGACCGCCGCACAGTCCACACCATCCTGTGCCCTCTGCTGAGGCTGCGTCAGGCCTGCTGCCATCCACAGGCTGTGAGGGGGGAGTTCCTGCCTCTGCAGAAAAGGTAGATGACACTTGGCATTATGTTTTCAAGGCGCTTGTAAGCGAGAGGAGAGGTCTTTATCTTAGGGCAGCTGCGCCAGTTAATTAACAATCCTGCTCGACTAAATAGAGTATCACAGCATTAGCAACGGTAATAGACCGCGGCAACCTTTTTGTCAATTATACAGTCTGCGTTTGTGTTTATTTAAAGTTGACCCATTCTGAGTAATTTGCATTGGAGGGTTTTTGTTGAGTGGGTTTTATCTGTGTTGTGCCCCCCCCTCTCCAGCACCATGACGATGGAGGAGCTCCTGAAGTCCCTGCAGAAGAAATGTCGAGTGGAGTGTGAAGAAGCTCACAGACAATTGGTGTGCGCACTCAATGGCCTGGCTGGAATCCACATCATCAGAAGTATAAATCCCCACTTCTGTACTTGTGCTCCCTCTGCTCCCAGTTTCCCATGGGAATCAGTTCAAACAAAACACAAGCCATGATCTCATCTTTGTCTCTCTCAACACTTTTTGTACAGAGATGTTTTGTTGCAGCGGGTCTCAGTAAGGCCATATATATAATGTGGTGTGTGTACTGGGGTGGATTGTATAGCACGTCTCATTAACTCAACATGTGACGGACATATTGAGTGTCACCAATAATCGCTCTTTCCTTTGCCACCTGCAGATGAGTTTGTAGAGGCAGTAGAGATGTATAGAGAAGTGCTTCGTTCATCAGAGGAGCACAAAGGCAGACTGAAAACAGATTCATTACAGGTATATACCCTCATCCCATTCATGTCTTTTTCACGTGTCTGTGATTAACATATGAAGGGGTTCATTTCTAGTATCATAAGGCTTAAAATACAGCTTAAAGCTTCTTTAATTTATAAATTCTACTGACACTGATTCATGATAGACATTAGATTTTAATATTTTTCAATCATAATGGTTTATATATTGTGAGTTTGTATAAAAATGTCTAATTACTACATTATTTTGGTAAAACAGAGGCTTCATGCTACCCACAATTTAATGGAACTGCTGAGCGCAAAGCATCCTGGGATACCTCCTACGCTGAGAGACGACCGACTAAGTGAAGAGGTAATTCATCTCAGTCAGAATACATTTATTCCAGTAACAATTTCGCTTTTGTTAATTTTGGTAGTAAACCTGTGATTTTATTTTTTAAGAATGGCTTTTATCCTTCTATGTCTCCTTAGGCGGAGCAGCTACGGCAACACTACATGACCAAATACGACTCTGAGGTAGCAGATGCTCATCAGGGTCTACAGCCGGTACTGCAGAACATTAAAGAGCTGAAACGCAAAGTGAGAACTTCTTTTATATCTATACTGTGGCCATTTGTGCTTCATATTATTATGATTATCTGCCACATCAACATACCGTATGATATATACTATAAAAACTAAATATCAGCCATAAACCTCCAGTTACACCTCAGTAGGTCGCTGCCAGAGTGGGAAAATCCATTTGTGTACCCAGAAACAAACACACAAATATATATATATTATATACATAGATATAATTCTATATATTATTATTTATATATATATATATATAACAAGTATATTTCACACTCCCTAGACCCATGACACATTTTTAAATCATATAAACTGGAGTGCATAGTCAAATTCAGATCTACTATTTGTTGAGTCTTTGAAATGAACATGAAAAACGTAATTTCCTGACCACTCACCCTGTATTAAGGAGCTAATAATTAATAATTCATGAGTAATGAGTTTATAATCCTGGCATGGTACTGTATAAATGCTATTCTACAGGCTTTACTTTCTGCATTACCTTTTCTCGCAGTGCTCAGTAATACGTAGATGTTATTTTGTATTGCTCATCTTGGGTTTTATTACCTACCGTACCTGTGAGACTTTGCCTTGAGATCAGTTTCTAATTTACTGAATGAGAGTAATAATTACTTTTGTTAATAGTTTGAGTCCAGAGAGAGTGTAAAATATAAATGTTTTGTCACACTGAAGTCAGATCTGTATTTGGAGTAATACTTTAATTAAGACTGAACCAAAAACTTATTTTCTTCATAAGTCAAACTTATCATGATCAAATTCTACAAGGTCATTTTTACACATAATTAAGATTGCCAAATATATTTAATTAGAAAGAAAGCTTAACATAATTAACTTTCTCTCTCAAGGTCAAGCTGAATTCTCCCTGGTGGCTCGATGTTATCCAGAAGGCGATCCGCTGCGCCAACGACGACGATTTGGTGTCCCGCGTCAAGAATGAGCTGACGTCCAGCTACAAACAACAAGCCCACAAGCTCTCCATGGCAGACAAGTAAACGGCTTGTTTAGTAAAAAAAAATGTATAGAATAATAGTTAATACTTACACAAATGCTATAAATGCAAATGTGGACTCCTGCAGGTTCCGTGATGCCTGTGGTCTGCAGTTCCTGCTCACATCACAAATGCAAGATCTGATGAAATCCCAGAAGACTGTGCAAGATGCGGTGAAGAGTCTTGAAGGCCCGGCCTCAAAGAAAGTGATTGATGAGGTCACCATTTGTCACCTCAGGCCCATGAGACTGCCACTAAATAAGTAAGAATTCATCATTTTTGGTGTCATTTCAAGAATTTTAAATATGCAAATGTAACATTTCATCACAGCTTCTGAATGTGTTATAGAAGGCTCAGAAACATGAGAGTCTGCTTTTAAAATTTGGATAGTTCCTGTGTTTTTTATTATAATTAATATTCCTCTCTTGTCATATTTCAGTTGTGTTTTTTGCAAAGCAGATGAACTTTTCACGGATTACGAGTCCAAGCTTTTTTCTCACACGTAAGTAGAGCAATGTTTTCTAGACCTGCCGGACTTATCAGTCACTTTGCTTGAAAACCTAAGTGTTGATTTATGAGGAAAATTCCCTGACAGGGTGAAGGGTCAGACAGCCATCTTCGAAGAAATGATCGAAGATGAAGAGGGGCTGGTGGACGACCGTCTCCCCACCACCAGCCGAGGCCTGTGGGCAGCCAGTGAGACTGAGCGCACTCTGAAAGCCATCTTGTCCTTCGCCAAAGTGAAACGCATGGACCCGGAGCTGGTGGAGGAGGGCAACACTTTCATGGAGCTGTTTGAGAACTGGAAGAAAGAGTACAAGGTTTGTACACACACTTACAGCCCCTCTCTGGCTTTTTAAATAGGCTATGTATGAAGGCTTGCTTGAGTAACAACAGATTCCTTTCCAGCTATTAAAAAAAGCTTTACATCCTCCACTTCAGCATTAAAACTCAGGACTGTTTAAAGTGCCAATATTAATGAGATGAAACACTGTCCCATCCTAGGTACTGCATGAGTACTGGATGGTGCTGAGGAATCACGTGTCAGCCATCGATGAGCTGGGTATGGCCACCGAGAGGCTACGTGTGCGTCTGCCTGATGAACCAAAGCCCAAACTGCTGCACATCATCGAGCCACATGAGGTGACAGTGAAACTTTACAATCTGTACAGCATTCAACCCTCCATTCAGATATGGAAAAACTCCCCCAAAAATTCTTTAACAAGGGAAAAGAGATGAAAGAGCAACATAGGAGGGAAGCCTCTCTTGAAAACCGGAGAACATATTGTGCCATTAGGGCTGTAAAATCATCAAAACTGTTTTTGTTTATATACTTAATCTCCACTCCAGAACTAATCCTGATTTGTAGGGTTGCTTTACATCAAAGACCGTTCTCACACTAATGTTTAATGTACTGTGCAGCCTAGTGTTTCTTTATCTGTAGATCTCAACCCAAAACAGGGTCACACCACCATTTGATACACTTTGCATCACAGTTACCCTGAAACAGAGTAGAAGTACAGAGACACAGAATGTACAGTCTGTACCTCTAGTCAACATAACCCGCTTCCACGGATGTAAGCTCTTAGCTGAGTTCGGTTTTTATGAACATGTATGTAATTTGCTGGTTTGGTCCTAATTAATAAACAGTTGAGAGCGTCACTGCAGACCCTCCGACCCAGTATTGTGCACAGTTGTTTTTCTTGTTGGTGAAAGTTTCCAAGAATGTAATATTCTGCCTTAACTATTTTTACTGCATTCCTGACCTCTGCCCTCGGTTGTTTTGCTTCCAGGTGGAGCAGAACAGAGTGAAGCTTTTGAACGACCAAGCAGTGGCCAAGTCTCAACTTCAAAAGAAGCTCGGCCAGTATCTGTATCTCACAAATCTAGAGAAGGTTATTTACGTTTGATGGTTAACTACAAACCACACAAATTCTTTCCCAACTCTTTCAGAGACTTTATTTCAAACTATGCGGTATGATCTCACTCCAGATAACATAAAATTCCTTTGTTCCAGTCCCAGGACAAGTCTACTGGAGGGCTGAACCCAGAGCCGTGTCCAATCTGTGCCCGACCACTGGGACAGGAGGTGAGCATTGTTCAGTTGATGGTAAATTTTAAATGTCTTTTGCAACATCGCTGCTCGTCGACTATTGATGATACTCTGGTTGAGCTTTACAGCAAGCCAGGGAAACATTTTCTTGATGATAGTAATAACCTGATGCACCCAGGAAGTCAGCACGTGGAAGGTTTTGCCCGGTTTTAATTCCTGTCTTTGTAGAGTGAATTCACATGTGTGACTTTGAAGTTGTATTTCTATTTATATTATAAAGAATAAATCCTCACTGCTACTTCTGTATTTTCTTTTCAGCTAAAAAGTCACCCTTTAAAACTGACTTTTAACTGACTTGAATGATTATAACTGATTGTTTACTGTTTAATCTTATTACTACCTCTCTGGCTCTTTATTTAAGCTTTTTATAAATGTGTAAAGAAAGGTACTCTGCAAATAAAGTCCTTTTTCCAGCACAAATCGCCAATAGTTTTTTTTTTGTAGTCATCATTTCATCTCACTCTCTCTTTTCCAGTGGGCAGTGCTGACCTGTGGCCACTGCTTCTGTAATGAGTGTATTGCTATCATCGTGGAGCAGTACAGCGTGGGCTCAAGGCGGCGAGCCATCAAGTGTGCCATTTGTAGGCAGACCACATCCCACACTGAGATCTCCTACGTGTTCACCACCCAGTCGTCCAGCCAGGACCAGGACATACCAGTCAAGGTCAGTCAGCAACACCATCCTCATGTAATAGATGAAAGCAGCCCATCTGGGCACTTTGCCCTTGTTTCCTGACCCCACCCCCTTTTGGGGGAAAGCAGTCTTCTAATTTCACTGGTGGAAAATGCATCTGTTTTCCTGTTTGTTGTTTTGGTAGTGTGTCCAATGTGACATTACTGTAAACTAATTATATCACTGTGGTAAAGCGGAACCGCTGTCTCTATTTTCATAGCAGTTTGTGCTCATTAAGCAACCTTTTACTACGAGCCGAGAGAAGTAGAACCAACCACTTCCTATGTCACTATATGCTGTTTACAAGGTTCGTTATTAGAACCTAGGTCAGCTCAAATTAGGCATGTAATTAAGGTTAAAATAACCACTGTGTTTACAGTGTTTGCAACAGCCGTACATATTGTATAGTAATGTTTGGTTTTATCTGGCTTAATTGTCCAAAAGTTGTTACATGTATTTAGTTGCTCACCTGAATGACTAAGATATTATGACCATAGATGTTACCATAATTAGCACTTATCAGGGGATTATACTTTGATCCTTGTCTTGTAATGTATGTAATTTTTGGCTGGGCGATTTTCTATTAATTAACTCTGTAGCCTAATTTTCCTCTCCCTATGGTTGTCAGGGAAGCCACTCTACCAAAGTGGAGGCAGTAGTGAGAACACTAAAGAAGATTCAAGTGACCGACCCCGGGGCCAAGTGTCTTGTCTTCTCCACGGTAACAGTAAACTATCCCTGCTCCGTAAGATAGTGATTTATGTTGATGATATCGAGTTTGGATCTGACCCAGTTTGTTTCCTTTTCTCTCCTGCGCAGTGGCTGAGTGTCCTGGACATTATTGCCAAGGCCTTGTTTGACAACAACATGGAGTTCTCTCAAATCAATGGGATTCACAAATTCCAGGTTTGAATCTTCATTATAGCCATTCATTTTTCCCTGCACTGTGCAAAAAACACATGATTCCCATGCCTTTATCTTTAGGTTCAATGAAGTGTTTGACCTCCAGGCACACTAAAACAGAAATCCGAATTCCAATATCGTATCTTTTGTCTTTTTGCCATCTCCTCTAAACATTTCATGGAGATCCAATCCAAAATTTGTGCAATACCCTGCTGACATACAGACAGATGGACAAACAGAAAATATAAAAAATAAAATCCCTCACAGCTTGTACTCGAACAACTTAAGTATCTGCCAAAAATGTAGAATCACTTTGTAGAAATTGCTTGACTCAGGTGTGATTGTAACTAGCGCATTGACCTAAATTTTCCAGGAGAATCTGAGCTCCTTTAAATACGAAGAAAAGATCAACATCCTCCTCCTTCCTCTCCACACCGGCTCCAATGGACTGAACATCATCGAAGCGACTCACGTGTTGCTGGTAGAGCCGATCCTCAACCCTGCTCACGAGCTCCAGGCCATAGGCAGAGTGCACCGGATCGGCCAAACCAAGTAAGACACGCTGATGTTTCGACCTACAATACACGCAATGAAAGTAACAGTTGCTACATTGCTGGCCACCTGCAGGCAATGAGTATTACAGCTATTTAGGTTTTAGGACTTGTACCACATACATTGCCAACAATATTACTTTCCTTGCCTGTAGATGGTGCCATCTTTGTGATGGTGACATCTTCAGGTCAGCTGCTGCTGGCCCTCTCTTTTCATGCTGGTAGGTGTCACAGGTGTCTGTGACGTCACAGATGTCTTTGACACCCATCGGACTGCACTGCTATCAGTGCCAGATCCAAGATTTCATACTAACAGATAAAACAAACCCTCATAAAATGTGGTTAAAGTTAATTACACTTAATAAAAAGTGCCTCTACTATTTTGTGCATTCTTTGTAATTTCTGTTTTCTGTCCACCAGGCCAACATTTGTTCACAGATTCTTAATCAAATCTACTATTGAAGAGAGAATGCAGGCAATGTTGAAGACAGCAGAGAAAAGGTGAGAGCCATAGAATATATGAAATTGTACTTTTGACATTTTTGTATTTAAACCGCATAGATTTAGTTAACTGAAAGGATTGATCAAACCTTTTCTAATTCTAGTCACACCAGCACGGCCATGAAGCACTCGGAGGCCGCCGTACTGACAGTAGCCGACCTGGCTGATCTATTTACTGAAGACACAGAACATCTGGAGTGAATGTGAACACCTGGATACACAGAGTGCAGAAGCTACACAGGCAAATGGAGCTCACTCTTTTCACAGTACTGATTTTGCACATTCAACTTTTTATATAAAGAAAACATGTTATCAAATGCATTTCCAAACAGATATTTTAGCAGGTCACTGACAACATGTTTCTTAATTGTATTTAATTTAAGATTTTTAATCTCTTTGAATTTTTGTGTATTTGGCTCACTTGTTGTCATAGTTGTAACAATAACTACTTCAGCTGTTCAAGTACATGTTTGATGATCACATTTAACTAGACTGTACAGTATTGTTGCTTGTGTTAATCTGATATTAAGTATATGCATTTATATATATGAATTTTACTGTAAGTTGACAGTTGAAAACGGAGGAATACAGATGCTGTAATCACACTAGTGATTGAAGTGTTCTCACAATTTTCAGGAAATAAAAGTCTGTCGATGGCAGGGTTATCACCAGCTCTTTTTGTCTGGTGCTTCTCTTGTGGTTTATTTCTATGCAGTAAAAATGGAAGCAGGAAGGAAGCCATTGACCTTTACAGGAGCAAAAGAGAGATTTTCTTTGACCAGACAATCTTCTTTAAGCTATTTGTCTGTTAAAACAATGGCAGACAATTCAACCTAACACTTACGTCTGTCTCATTTGCAAGACAAAAAAGCACAAGATTCAGTGTCTTGGAAACTAATCTTGTAAATTAAACTCATAAAAGTCAGAAAATGTGAAGATGTTTTCTGTCTCATGGCAGCAGTTATCTAATCTTTTTCTGATATTTTTCTGACACTACCACAAATTGTCTGGACACGTTTAACAAATATGTGGCTCTTTTATTACATTTCCCCTGTTTCAAACCTTTATAATATAACGAAAATAATCTTCCCTTTCTTGTGTTTGAAAGTATTTTATGGTCTGTTCTACCACACATGCACACTCACAGGCCTTTGGCATCGTGACTGAATTGCCCTTGACTCGTAATGACTTTCTTTTTGCCTGACTGACTGGGATTCCCGCACCAGTAAAGATTTTAAAATGTCCAGACAAAGGATGTAGACAACAAAGAGTGCCTGCCCAGTGCTGTTGTTTCTCTTTACATGGTTACCAGACTTCTTGCTGCTCCTTGTAGTAAGAAACAGTTGTAAGATGTTTACTAAGAGGACATCACCGCAGTAGGCGGTAACATACGTGTTACCTTGGACTCCCCTCAGTTCCCCCTATTCATGTGCGGAATCTCATTGTTGGTGGGGACATCATTCAAGCTGGTGTTTTAAGGCCAGAGGGAGGCTCCCAGTTCATTAGAGCTGTGTTTCGAGGGCTGGAGTAAGAGAGGGGTACTACGTCTTCTGGTGACAGCAAGCTGTGGTGAAAAGTCCCCAGAAGATTCACAGAGTTTCGGGGAAAGGGCCAAAAGTTACTGGAGAGGTTGAGCTCAGAGAAACCAGAGGGAGAGTCCTTGGAAGATGGCACCTGCCAGTTTGGTTTTTGCCTGGTTACTGTTCACCATGAGGATGGTCACCTCAGCAGTGTATCTGGAGCCTGAGGAGGAGGGTGAGCTCACACCTCACATCACACAACCAGGAGTCAAGGGTCAAACAAATGGTTTTTATGGAAACTTTATTCCTTTAAGAAGTCATTAGGGAGTCATTTTTCATATTGACAATCATTGGTTTAACATAACCTGACTGCAAGGGCTTTAAAATGTTCTTCCAAAAGGGACCATTTACTGATTCAAGTCAAAGTGGTTTCTTTCACAACAGTAGCAGTATAAGTTGGCATTTATCAGTGGTGAAAGATGCATTCAGATCCTTTACTTCGGTATCTTATCTTACTAAAGTGCAAGTACAGAAGTATTCAATATGCAGCAGAACGACCCCTGTCAGACTAATATTACTATACATTATATTATTGAATCATTATTATTGATTTATAAATGTGTAGGCAGCATTTAAATGTTGAAAGAGTTACTTGATGTGCCTTAATTATGGTAGATTGAAAAGTACAACATTTCCCTAAGTAATGTAGTGGAAAAGAAACATAAAGTAGCTTAAAATAGGAATACTATGGTATTTAACAAGTATTGACCTCTAAAATATCTGACTATCTTAACTGAAATTTAGATATCTTATAGACAAATATGGATTGTCTATGAGACTTAACATGTGATTCTCTAATCTAATAATATAATAATATCTACATTTGCAGACTGGTAGAGAACTACCCAGAAGGGGTATTTCAAAAATCATCATCTCTTAACATTATTTGAAAGGAATATTGTTTTGTGTGAGATTTGATTTGTTTTCATCTTCTTTTTATTAGAGCTCAATGAAACTGTCATTTGTACCAACGACCATATGGAGGTTGTTATTCCCAGTTCTTTCTTCCTCAACAAAGAGCCTCCAGTAAATGTAAGTGAGCACCAAAGAAACGTCAACGTATTTTCCCTCAGCGTAGGCGTTCTCTACTGATATTCTAAATTATTTTAAGTGTGACTTAAATTTCTCTTTTTTTTTTTGTATTGCGTTTTTTTTCTGTTTAGGTTTGGGATTTGCATTTAAATGATCCAGAGTGCCGCGGCGTTAAGGTTGGAGACGACTACGTTTTCAGCATAAAGACAAATCTCTCCGACTGTGGGACTATAATGGTATCACCTTTTGCTTAACTTTTGCATCAAAGTCTGTGACAACCTCTTAGTCTGTAGGAGTCAAACTAATCAAATGTTGCACGTGAACTCAGACATTTAAAACAGCTCTTAACAAAGCATGCAGACATCCGCTTTAAACTAAATGAAGACAAACTACACTCGGTTTATCCATTATTGACAACATAAGATCCCCATCGTAATAAATTACTTATTTTACGATGTATAGGGTTGTTGTGGGAACAGGCCCCACAAGCAGGATGCCAAAAAAGGAGTTACTTTACTCAGTTTACTGCACTTTACATAACAGTAAAAAATTACTTGACTAAGACCAGAGACTTTTTTGCTGTGACGTAAATGTGGACTGTGAGGCTCTGTGTTTAGTTGGGTACTATAGAATTAGCTCATAGCTAGTATAATAAGATGGACAGAGAAAGGCACATAGTCTGAGCCCAGACAGAAAGGAGTGAAGAGAAAAGAGGGGGGGTGGCATGTATGTCAAGAAAGAAGGGCGGCGTTGTTCCTTTTTCCTATAACAGTGCAGGACCTTATTCAAAGCAGCAACAGGACCCTGAATGGCCTCGTAGCTCTAAATTATCAGGATTTACATGGAAATGATGATTATTTGTTGTTGTTCACTGAATGGGAAGGCCGTAAATCATTGGGCAACTAGCCCCCTGATTATTTTAATCCAGCCACTCTCATGGATTAAACTCTGGCAAAGTTTAAATCCCTACTTCAGCACACGAGTGTCCTTGAATTACTTGCTTGGAATGCATGAAGCTTTTTCTTGTAAAGCAAGCCAAAGGTTAGCACAGCTTTCAACAAGAAGGAAATCTCCTAGTTCTCCACCTCAGCAATTTTACAAGGTTTTTGCTTAGCGGCTGAGGAAAGTAAGCCTGCTCCAGATTAGATGGCTGTTGCTAAAGGAGAAGAATGCCATAGCTGTCAATCTTGCTTTCACCTTGAACTTAGGACGTTTTAAACCTGCCATCAGAGGAGGAGTGACTGAATTGTTGGGTTTAAAGGTCAGCCAATTTTATTGGAACATGACAGCATGCTGGCTCATGTTTCAGTAATAGTTCTACATTTGTGAGACACATAGCCTTGATGTTACCCAGTGATACATGCAAGTGCCAGTGGGGTTCTGCCATGGAGCAATGAAGACCTGCTGCTCGCTGTAGAGAACTGTCAGTGGTGCTCATGGTAGGGGGTGGTGTGTTTACCAAGAGCTAGTAAAAGATGTCTGAAATGTTGGAGCTCGAGGCAATTCATCCAGCTCAGTGTCTACAGAAGCCTCCCTCCATCGCTCAGCAGGAGCCCAGACAAACCTTGGACGCAACCTTTTCACCCGTCCACATTTTATGGCTTCACCTACGTCAGCTGCCAACAGTTAAATAATGAACATTTACAGAGTGTGAAAGGATGATAACTATAGAAGTTATAGTTTGGGTAAGAGGTTACATAGACTAACCTCACTGGCTTCTTTTACTCTTTAATGTGATTTCTACAACTGAAATATGCTGCAGCTTTGTCCATTTTACATGTGTCCTTTTGCCCTCTAACCACTTTAACACATACTGTATATAGGGGGTAGTTTTCAAGCAAAAATGTTGATGTTTGGATGGTTCCAGGTTTGCAAATGTGAGCATTCACTGCTTCTCTTGGTCTTACGTTATAGTAAACTGAATATTTTTGAGTTTTGGACAGCTGGTTGAACAAAACAAGACATTTAATGATGCTGTTAAAAGGTCTCTGAGAGATTGTGGTGACAATTTTTCAATGTTTTCTGATGTTCTATCGACCAAACAATTTATTAATCAAGAAAATAATCTGAAAAATAAAATTGAAAATGAAAGTAATGAGTTAGTCGCAACCCTAATGTCAGTACTGTGAATGAATCGGTTTCTAACTAGATCAATCAACAATTTTGTTTATATATTTGGATCCCCATTAGCTTTTACCAGCTCAACAGCTTCTCTTCCTGGGGTCCATTTGAAAATTGATTAATCATTTAAATCATTTAAGGAATTATGCCACACATTCTCTAGTGCTACCTTCTTCTTATGGATATGAGATTGAATATATTTGCATTGTGGACTGTTCCTCATACAAAATAAGCAATTTAAGGATATTTTATAGATCAAATAAATTAAACAAAGCAATGCTTGTCATATTAATCAATAATGAAATAATCATTTGTTGCAATACTGGAATGCTGATCAACTTACTTCTTCTGCACTGATGAGCAGATCAGTAAACCATTACAGGAACCAGCAGTGTAAAAAGACTTTGCTGTGTAATGTTTGAATCCAGATTTTCAGAGAGACATTGGTAGACGAGTGTAGTTCAGGGTCAGTGGGTCACCAGAATTGTTGAGCTGCCTGAGATTTTCACTGACCAAATTAACTGAGACATGTAAGCAGAGACACCCTCTTGATAATAAATCCCTGCACTCTTCAAACTCCCTTTCACTTAATGTCTGTGCCAGATTTCTGCAGTGGTACACAAAAAAAGCATAATAGTGGATGTCTATTCTTGTATTGGCAAAAGAAACATGTTCCACTTAGCTATTCAAATCTCTCTTACTTGATTAGTTTCAACTGACTTCTATATTTGTCTTTCTCTCCTTAGGCCTCAGACGATACACACATCATGTTCATAAACACTATACACAACAACGATTCAGATATTATAACCAGAAACTATATCAACATAACATTTGTATGCCGCTACCCCATCAACTACATGGTCCAACAACCCAATGGTGAAAACATGATTAGAGTTGATGTCAGGTAAGTGTTTATTTTTAATTGAATCTGAACATGACTCCTGTATGGGCTTGTAAAATGATTTGGTTTTTACTTTAATCCTCTTCTCTCTACAGAACTATCACTCTGAACACAGAGGATGGGAACTTCTCAGTGTCGATGTTGTTGTACAAAGATGAAGCCTTTGAGGACAGGTGGACCACTGTGCCGTCACTGACACTGGATGATGACATCTTTGTGAAAGTTTTCATGGTGAATAACCTTGAGGGACAAAGTCCATTAATGTATTTTTTAAACTACAGACTTCAACTTAATACCTACACCTAGCATTGACCTTAAGATTGTGTGAAATTATGTTATACACAATATTATTAACTCAAATAATAAGAGTAAAATGCCTAACAGAGCTTGTGTATGCTGCACTTTTAAACACATTAAAGTATTATTACTATTGGCGGCTATTTTTGGATAAGCTTAAGCACGTTGTTACATGACGTTAAGCAATATGCTGTGTGGTGGGATGTTTCAAGGACTGCTGGACAACTAACACTGCACTCATGTCCAGATAGTAATTTGAGCGTTGTTATAATCTCTCGGTACAGCTGTTGTTTACGTACTGTGAATCATCATTTTTGTGGCCTAGTATGGAACAGTGTTAACCTTGTGTAAATAATGACTTGACCGTCACCCAACCCTGTCTATCTCCCAGATACCGGCTCACCTGATGCTGCGTATAGAGAGATGCTGGGCTACACCAACCAGCGATCCATACAGCAATATTCAGTACACCTTCATCAGAGACAGGTCTGCCTCGAAAACAGTTTAAACAAAAAACGTTTTATTTTGTAATATGAGCAAATAGGATAAAAGAAACACATCTGATCATGGAGCTGTACATTGACAAGGCCTATTCGCTTCCATTTGCCATCTTGCTGCTAAGTAATGTTATATAGGTTAATTACATATTCACACACTTTATAGATGGTCTGTTGAAACCGGCTAGTGGCATGCTCTCTGGCCGCATTATTTCACCACACTTGCAAACAGCTCTAAGTCCTCTTACAGGAGTGCTGTTGAAATCTGAAATAAGAGAATTTGTTGCTTAGAGAGCTGGCCAGACAACAGCTCTCAGAGCCTGGTCACGTGACTTCTGTCTGAGAGGCCATAAGCGTTTCAGTTAACAGCTGTGCATGTCCTTGACAACCCGGCAGTATTTGGTACTGTTAGCAACAGCAGGGCAATGAAATGCCAGAGAGAAAAGAAAATACTCTGTCTCTCTCTCTGTGTTGAAATAGATTTAGTGTTTACATTATTTCTTAGCTTTGCAATTCATCACACGAGCTGAAATCTGTTCCTTGTCTCTATTTTTAAAGTACAGTATTTCATTCTAGATTTTAATCTCATGACCACCAGGCCTCCTTGACTTCTTTGTCTCGCTCTCGTAGCTGCCCGGTGTTGTCAAATGAACAGACCCTGAGTGTGCTGAAGAACGGCCAGGGTCCAGAGGCCATGTTCAGGATACAAATGTTCAAGTTTGTGGGCGGCTCTTACACCAACGTCTTCCTCCATTGCAACGTCCAGATCTGCCACAACACCCCGGGGCTGTGCCAGCCTGTGAGTGAACTCATGCAACACCCATTCCTCAAACTAGTAGTCAGAGGCCAGTTCAGACAAGTAGCCTACTATATGTGCAGCTTATGTCCTTAATATAGACCCATCAGCCTAGAATTGTGTTTCAGCCATATGAGCTTGTAAGCTGTGCTGATTTTAAATGTGTGCTGCTTGACGTTGAGATTTATAGCATCTTTTTTTCATGTTTAACTCGTGTATTTCCCAAACAGAACTGCTCCAGTGAAGAAGGGTTAATGAGGACACGGAGAGACATCCCTCTGTCCCATACAGTGTCTTATGGACCAATCAGACGACTACTTAATGATAGTGAAAAGCCCAATCTGAGTATGTTTTCACTTTTTATATAAACTCTGTAACTCATATGGATCTTGAGAGCTTTAGCTTTTAAATATTTAAAGCTTAAGTGCATTCAGTTCATATGCAAAGTGTGGTTTGGCCTGTGTCCTTTCTCTGTAGATGCAGGCGGGGTCCCTCCTGTGGAGACCTTTGTCCTCGGAGGGCTGCTGGTTGTCTTGCTGCTGATCACAGGAGTGTTCGGGAGGCTGTGGCTTCGCTCAAGACGTTTCTACCCAGCGCGGGAGGCGCAGCTCACCCTGTCCAACATCCACCACATCTCAGAAGTGGCCTCATGAATCAGGGGATCGGGGACCTCTCTGAGTGAAGAAATGGACATATAAACGTGTACAAATACAAACACACACATACAGGTGTGATCTATGATAAGAATTAAAGTCTTGCATATGTTTCTCTTCATATAATGAATTTCTTATACTGTAAGAAATCGACTTAATAAAGGTCTCCCTCAAATGTTGTCCCTCATGTTTTTTCCTAGTTATGACATTTACTGTAAGTACTGGGTTTAAGTACCATTTTGAGGTACTTGTACTTTAATTGCATTTTATGCTACAACATTTCAGAGGGAAATAATGTTATTTTTACTCCACTATAATTATCAGACAGCTATAGCTATAGTTGCAAAATAGTTCAAATTCTATCTCAAAGTCTACCGTGACCAGTTATAGTATTAAAATGGTGTTAACACATTTGTCATTTCATACTTAATGAGTACTTACTGATATTAACTGATATGTTAAATACATTTTGCTGCTAATACGTGTGTACTTCTAGCTAAGTAAAACTTTCAAGGTGGGATTTTTACTTCAACTTTAGTACTATTTGATTCTTTTCTCATTCAAAAATCCCATTAAAAGACCAAAACCAACAGAGTGATAGTCTGTCTCTCAGTACTATCCAACTTCCCATCCACTGAGCCCCAAGCCCATTCGTTTGAATGTTTTAATTATCTGTGAAATATATAGTTTCACTTTTAATTCATAACAGCTGAGCTCTAGTTATGCTGAATATTTACAACACCATTACATTGTATGTGGAATTGACACAAAATAGGCTACACACTCCATTACACATCCATTGTAATGAAGGAACATGTCACCCAGTGAGGCTCATTAGTTTGTTTATAAGACTTTTGATCTGTGGCACAGAGGAAAAAGCTTAAGTTTATCAGACTGGCTACACAGGCAAGTTATTAGGGTACATTTTGGACCTTTAATGGGATCAATATTAAGATAAATATAAGTCTAAGTACTTTACACACCACTATTTATTTCCTTTTTATATTAGGGTTAATCCGAGTCTGTCTGTCTCTGTCCATTAAAATCCAAATCTAACAGCACAGACATTTTCCTTCCCGCAGTCTGTCTATTTCAGTGCGCTCTCATACGTCTGCGTCCATAAACCCAAATGTGACGGGGTCGTTGACGTGATGACGTGATGACGTCGCGGTGCGGGGATCAACACAAACGCCGACCGACGCTGAGAGCAGAAGGACTCGCAGCCGGAGAACCAGCCGCAGCCAGTTCGCGTCAAAACAAAGATTTTTGGACACGTTTTATACTGTGAGACGCGTATGTCGTGGTAGTTCCCGCCTTGCTGATGTCGACGGAGCTGATATAAGTGCAGATATACTGATAAGAAAATACGCCGTAACTCGGGTAAGCAGTTTTTCTGGAAGCTACCAGCTAACTAGCCGAGTGAGCTAACGACGTGTAGCTGCTAAATGCTAACTGGCTGGCCATGTTGTTGATGTTCTTTTGTTTTAACTTAACAAAAGTTTGGTGCCGCGTCAGTTCACCTTTCCCCGTTGCGCAGCTTTAACGGAAACAACTTATTACAGTCAAACAGATTAATTGCGACTTTATTGGCGTCAAGTGAAACTTTTAAAAGGCATGCATGTTCGAGCCGGCTTGTTGCTGTGTTGTTTGTGTTTTTAGCTGTGTGCTAACCTGCCAGCTATGCTTGCGTAATTTAGCCATGGCTGCAGAGGCTTGAACAATAGCTCTCCTGTGTGGCTGTGCGGTTTCGGGCTTGCAGCATTTTTGTGGGTCTTTAAATTATTATTGTCGTTTTTAGCCAGCATTCATTATCCCACAAATCCCTCCACAGCAGCAACACTACCAAATAAGTCTAATGATTCAGAGGTGTTTACCTCGTGGGGCTTTTGGGGGCAGACAGGCTGCATAACATGTTGAAGTTCTGACTTGTCACCAGGCGCCATGTACGAAAGAGCCTAAAGGTGAGGGGTCACGGGTTTTTTCTCTGAAGTCCTGGAAGAACCAGTGTCACCATGAAACCTAAGGAGGGTGTTGTGAAATGCACCGAACAGCCTAAAGAGTTGGTAAACACGCACACAGAGAGAACTTGTGCGAGTCCTTTCAGAATAGCTTGAAGAAAGGGGACCTCGTGTGTGTTGTGTTGCAGGGTGGCATTATTTTCCACGGGATAATGTAACACCAGCCGGCCGCTCCGTGTGTTTACCTAAAAACATTGTTGTTGTCATGTTGTGTATTTGGCATCTAAGTATATCTCTTGCTGGCTTTGTTTCAGGGTTGAACACTTCACCCCCCTTTCCCCTGCCAGAACCAATTGGGCAAGGAGCGACACAGTAAAAATGGAGAACCTGCATTCCCACTGCCTTAAATGCATCAACAGAAGATGCATGGTGAGACCAGAGACGGGTGTTTGCTGCGACCTCATTGGCTGTCCTCTTGTCTGTGGGGCAGTTTTTCACTCGTGCAAGTTAGAGGAACACCGTCTGCTGTGTCCATATGAGCGGCTGCCGTGCCTTAACAGCGGGTTTGGCTGCCCGTTCACTATTCCAAGGATCAAAATGGCAAAACACCTCGAGACGTGCCCGGCCAGTATAGTGTGTTGTACCATGGAGTGGAATCGCTGGCCCGTGAGTTACTCCGACCGCAAGTCCTACGAAAACTTGAGCAAAGACTTTGATGAGGTAGAGCAGCTCGACATGGCCTTGGCCCTGCAGGATCAGAGGATGTTGTTGGAGTCGCTGAAGGTTACGACCACCGTGTCGAAGAATGGAGATAAGGAAGCAGATGAAAGTGACAAAATGGCCACAGCAGCAAGTCTCCCAGAGACGGTGTTAGGCAACGGAGCAGTGGAAATGGAAGAGGAGCCCTACAATGAGTTGTATAGAGCCTCGGTGGAGAGCAGGAGCTTAGCAGCGGCCTTGGACATCCTCTCCAATTCCAAGGATATTGGTGTAATTGTTGGAAATTTGAACGGGGAAAAGACAAACAAGAATGGTGCACTCCACAACGGAGAAAATGGTGATAGTCACAATGTTTATGTTGCTGAGGGTGGGAAGAATGTGGATATGCAAGATAGTGACTCTGATTCAGAGTGTGAGCTTGGGGCCGTAGGCGGAGTGGACTGTGCAGTGGGGACAGATGGAGGAGAAAATGGTATTGGCTGGGTAGAAGAGAATGATTTTGTAGAGTTGTTTTTTGAGGAGAAGGAAGATATAATCGAGGAGCCAATAAATAATTCCAACTTTGTTTGGCCAGAGCTGCCTCAGGATTACATGCCTGCACTGGAACGACCTGTGCCTCCACAAGCACCACTTCCACCCCCAATGCCATTCCTGCTGTCTGATCACTTGAGAAATAACTTCTTACAGCATTTACCTACTGAACTCAGGTATAGGTGTTTGGAGCGTAAACTACAGAACGTAGAAGTGCTTAGAGGAATAAGTATGTTTACACTTAACGGGCGCCGGGCTCTGCTGTCAGACCCTTACTTGTTTCGAGCAAAGATGGAGGACAAGGCAGTAGACACATCTGACCTGGAGGTAGCAGATGACCCCATGGGGCTCCACGGCATCGATCTCATCACCGCCGCGTTGCTGTTTTGTCTCGGCGACTCTCCGGGAGGCAGAGGAATCTCAGACAGCAGGTTTGTCGACGGTTACCACATTGACTTCGGTACTCAGACGTTCTCTTTCCCTTCAGCCATTCTGGCAACCAACACCATGGTGGGAGACATCGCTTCAGCCTCGGCCTGCGATCACGCCAGCCCGCAGCTTTCCAATCCAAGCCCCTTTCACACTCTCCGGCTGGACCTGGTGCTCGAATGCGTGGCTCGATACCAAACAAAGCAGCGCTCCATGTTCACATTTGTGTGCGGGCAGCTGTTCCGGCGGGATGAGTTCTCGTCTCATTTCAAGAACGTTCACGGGGACATTCACGCCGGACTCAATGGCTGGATGGAGCAGCGCTGCCCTTTAGCCTACTACGGCTGCACCTATTCCCAAAGACGATTCTGCCCCTCAGTACAGGGCTTCAGAATCATCCACGACAGGCACCTCGGCTCGTTTGGGGTTCAGCCTGGTTTGCCCTTAAAAGCCGGGGACAGCCCCTCAAGAAAAACCAGCCGCTTTGGTCCTCAGTGCGATCAGTTTAGCAGTCTTCCATTCGAGGTGTTGCAACATGTAGCAAGCTTCCTGGACAGTTTCAGCTTGTGCCAACTGTCCAGAGTGTCCCGCACCATGAGGGATGTGTGTGCTAGTCTGCTGCAGATGCGCGGCATGGTCGTCCTGCTGTGGGAGAAGAAACGGCGTGCTGACGGCTCTTCTTCGTGGCAGATCACAGACAAGGTTAGTTATTTTTTGCTTAGGGAAAAAAAAAAAGCACATTTGATAACCAGTTTCACTCGTTTCCTTTATGGAGCCACTACACTGTCACAGCATGAGAATTAATGGAGCGAATCTCTTTTGTTTGTCATTCAGGTGTGGCGATTCAGCACAGCCTTTGGTACAGTGAATGAGTGGAAGTTTGCCAACATCGCCAGCATGGCCGACCACCTCAAGAAGTGCAAGTTCAATACGATCTCTCGCCACGAAGAGGCGATCCCTCTGCCATGCATGTGTTTCACCAGAGAGCTCACGAAAGAGGGGAGGTGTTTACGTTCAGTTCTCAAACCAGTAGCATAAGGGTTTATCAAAGATGAAATCATCTTTTGGACATTTATGAGACCAGAATACTCAAATACATACGTATTTTCCTCCAGTGTTTACAGACGTTAGTCTCTTCCAGCCTCAAAAAGACAGAAAACTCCCGGGTTGAACGTTATAAATTGTTGGTTGTTCACAGTGGAAAAAGAAAAACTTCACTCCCATAATGAGACAATGCCAGTTGTGGGCAGATTTATACTTGAGTGGAAGCCGACACGCTGCTCACAGATCAGGACTGTGAACGAGCATATTAAATTGCTAGCCTTCTATCTTCCCCTCTGATGGATTTATTAATACCAGTGTACTCAAGTTGTATCCTTATCTACTCTGACATTGTGTAAATAATCAGATGTTTTGATGTAGAACTTTTTTATTTTTATATCAAAGTGTCAGTACTGTGCTACAGTGGAGGTGAGAGTAGAGCCTTAACTTATGATACACTTGATTTTCTAGTCGTGAGGTTGTTCAGAACATCTCGTGAGATTTCTCCGCTGCTTCTAGCTAGAACAGTTTACTGGTATCTTGCACAGTTTTGTATCCTGATACCTAGAGTGACCATGTGTGTACTGAGCTCCTAGATTTCATGGCTTTAATTCTACATTTTAAGACTGACCAAACATCTGTGGTAGCTGTGCACAAGGTATGCCATTTTACAGGATGGTCATACTGTATTCACTGTGGCTGTTGACTTTCTGCTCACCGGCATGTCACCATCAACATGTTTGGTGTTTTAAATAAAGTGTGTTTTTTTGTGGTTTGGCACATTATAACAGTAATAACAGTGGTCCATCTTCCTTTATCTATTTCTGACTAATGCGCTGGCGTGTTAGTCATGTGAGAGATTAACACTATTCACCAGCCAAATGGCAAAAGATTTTGTTAGCTGTGGTTGGTTTGTGGTTTGTCTGTTCTACCAGCTATTTCTAAAAGTAACCAGCAGTTGTTTGTAGGTGGTTTTTATACGAAAATGTAGCAAGTAAAGTGATGAATGTACTCTGATTATAAGAATCCATCAGTGACTGTGGTTAGTGAGCAGAAACCTTGGTTTGCTTCCCTCAGTGTCAGACCTCATAAAACCCTGCAGGCCAGGTGTTAAGAAATATCACGGGCACACGCTTCCCTCCAGTAATGAGCTAATCACTAATGTTCATTATGTATCATGGCTGTGTGTTTTTTTTTGGCACTACATGTCCACTGTGTTCAAATGTTGGTGTCTCAGGGTTGTAGCATGAAGCTTTGTCCCGCAGTACATTTGTGTGTGTGTGTGTGTGTGTGTGTGCGTGTGTGGTCAACTAAATTGCAGAGAACTACACAGCGACTTGTGAGCTGCTTGATTATTGTGGGGTCTTAGAACTGACTGGTGTACCACTCAGTATTATAATAACATAACAGTGTGTGTGTTGCAGTGCTGGACTAACAAATGACATGGTTTCAAGTTTGTCATCCATCAGCATCCTGTTTTGGCTGAGTACCTAAAATAGGCTGTCAAAAAGGTTGTTTGGATGTGCTTTGGAGTGATCAGACTTGTTGAACACCTTTTTTTTGTTTGTTATATTTTCAGTTTGGATTAAGAACTAAGGTGTAACAACACATGAACATGACATATTTTGCTCCCTTGTGTGAGTAAATTGCTTCAGATGTTTTGCAATGTGGAACGGAAATGTCACAGAAAAGTATCTGAGTACTGGTATAAAGAAAACTGTGTGTTTTTGTTGTTTTTATGTTTTTGAAGTTTGATGTAAAAGCCTAAGCGATGTCAGAACTAAGCTGTCTTTTTACTCTACGTCCCAATCCATGTTTGGTTTATTTCTTATTTTTGTACTGGTACTTGTATTTGAAAAGAAAAAGAGTCTGCCTCTGTAATGTCTGGATTTATGTTTTGAATTATTGATTTGCACATGAAGGCATGTACTGTAAACATTTAAATCATAATGCTGAGGGGTTGTCTTTACTCGAGTAGCGGGAATTTTACTCCCCTCACGTTTTGCATGTGAGTTTGATATGTTTGAAAAATTGTATGTGTCAGTCCAGTTGCAAACTCATTCATACTGTTTATTTCTCAGGCACAGTGCATCGGTTTAGTACATTATCATATTAACTGTTACAATTTTTTTAAAACTTGTATAATGAACTGAAGCCAGGTCTGATCCCATGCACTCATTCTTCAGGTTTGATGGATGGATGGAGTGGATGACCTGAGCATCAATCTTTTTCTCTACTGAGGTTAATGTAAATGTTTAGACAGATGTATTGTCTGCAGCACACCTCATTTTGTTTTTCAGCAATACAGTCTTTTGCAGGCACCTGGAGTGTATCAACACTTTTTCAGCATTTTAAGTTTTGTTTTTACTCCTGCTGAAGTGTATTTTTCACCACAATATGCCAGCTTCATTTGTTTGACTTTTGAAGCATTTTAATAAAGAGGCTCTCTGTTTTTAAATGTTGATTTTATTTTATTTTTGTCCTTTTTTATTGCAGCGGTTCACTTACTTCACAGTGCTTTGTTCAACTCACTAGGTTTACATTTGACAAAAGTGTTAAAGTTAGCAATTATAGCAAAATAGTTGTGTGCACTTCCAAGCCTGTATTTAGCTCATGTACAGGATAAGAAATTCAATGATGGAAGGAGTGCAGCATACACTGGATTAAAGCTCCCATTACAAATTGAAACCTACTGGGTTTTCAACAGGTCAACATGACAAAAAAGCAAAGAATATATGGCAACAAAACTGATACAATCATGGCGATATCACTGTCAAGTAACTTAAAGAAGGATTATGCAGTTTATCCCTAAAATAAAAACTGTGCTGTATTCATAAGGAGTTCTACCTGTTAGTGCAGATTAATGTAAAATAATCTGTCATAGCAACAGATTGTGGAACATATTTTACAGCTAGATGGCGCCAGATCCACACAGTCCACTTCTGCAGATAAAAAGGATTTTCAGGACCCAAATGTTCCCTCTTAATATAACCTATATTCACACATTAAAATAACAACTTTCTAATGATATAACGTTACATTGGAATTACAGACCACTGTTCCTCTTGTTTAGACCATCGCAGCTGATGTAAACAAGCCTTTTACTGCGTCAGAAAACAACAACAACAACAGTTTGCGGGATTACAAGCTGTTAATCAAATAGAGCGATGGCATTTTATCCTTATGTCCATGTCGTTTGAATATTTGTGGTTGGCTACCGTTTTGTTTACATTTGGAACCGATTACCATTCAAATCTAGATGTAACGCCGAGATAGAGAGTCGAGTGTGCTGCTTATATTTACACCAGAAAATCCCCGGTACAAAGGGAAACTAAATGTCATAATGTAGTTAGAGTTAAAACAGCTGAGTCATGGTTTCACCTCTCGGTTTCTGAACCCTCATAGTTTTAAAGGATTAATATAGTGCTACACTTAGAAACCTTTAAAGTCACAAACAAGGTTTAAAATCGTTCCTATGAAGGGCCAGTGCTATGACCATTATTATGCATTATGTACCATATATATATATATATAT